AGCGTCTTCGATCCGCCGCGCTCAGTGGTTATGCCACACGGATGCCTGGCGTGCTTGATGATCGCAGTGCCTTCGTACAGGGCAGTTTTTAATACATAGGATGTTTTAAATCCGCCGATCCGGCGTGTGAGTTTCAAGGAGTCTCAGCTACAGCCTCGAGGCTGAGCCTCAGCCTCTGGGAGGGTTGCCGGGGTGGCTCTGCCGGGGAAGGGGGGATGGGGGGGGGGGGTGCGAGTTTCCGGCGGATGCGGGGTGACGGCCCAAGAGGCTCCCAAGAGCGTGCCCCAAGAGTACCCAAAGAGGGACGCTAAAAGCGGACAAACGATGCCCCAGAGCTCCACAATAGGGCGCCCCATGCCAAAAGCCAACCAAGAAGTCGTCCCGGGGCGGATGTGACCGCCCTGACAGGTGCCCGCAGCCCAAGATGCCCAAAAACTCCCCAAATTACGGCCTAAGAAGCTCCAAAAGGCCCCAAAAGTCTCCGAGAAACCCCCCAGGATGCCCTGACAGGCCCCCATGTCTGCGGCGCGGGTTGGGTGGTGTGACTGCGTGTGTGCGTTTGAGTGTGCGCCCATAATGTCTGCGTCTGGAGAATAACCCCGAGCGACCCGGATCGGCGGCACTGGCCGAAGGCCACTACAATACAGGATGTGTAATACATGATCAAATTAGAAAAAATGCATGCGTGAACTCAATGTTGCTTTTAATACTAGATCCCTGCATGTTTAATACATAATCCGCACGCGGAGCATGTATTCAAACCGGCACTGTACTGTTGTAGCTCATCCTGCGAAGATGGCCCAAGTTTGCCTCCAAGGCGGCCAAATGGCTTTCATGGTCGATCAAGGTGGTCCAGGAGGGCCTCCAAGACAGCCCAAGAGAATCCAAGGTGTCTCCAAGATCGCCCAAGAACCCTCCACGACGGCCCAAGACGGCCCTAGCGGCCCCAGGAGACCCCCAAGACGGCTCCAGAGGCCCTCAAAAGGTGCTCCAGGAGGGACCGAAGAGGCCAAACTTATCACGTGTCCTTTGGTGCTTCTTTTCGGCCTTCCGACAGCCCCAGACGGCTCGAGAGGCCCCAAGATGGCCCCAAAGGCATCCAAGATGACCCCATGACGGTCCAGGAAGCCTCGACGACAGCCCCAAGAGGGCCCCAAGGCGGCCCACGAGGCTTCCGAAACGCTCAAGATGGCATCCAAGACGGCCCTGGAGCGCCCCAAGAGGGCCCCAAGCCAGTTCACAGAGCCAAGCAAGACAGCTTCCGACGGCTCCAAACGAATCAGGGACTCTTTAACACGGCCAACGAGGCCCCCGAGAAGCCCCCACAGGCCCCCAAAGGCCACCGAGAGGCCCAAGGAGGCTCACAGGAGGCGTCAAAAAAGGCTCACAGGAAGCTTCCAGGAGGCCGCAAGAGTGCCCCCAGAGGCTCCCAAGATGCACCCTCCTCCTCCTCATCATCATCCTCCTCCTCCTCGGTCTGATCCTCCTCCTCCTCCGCCTCCACCTCCGCCTCCGCCTCCTCTTGCTCCTGCTCCTCCTGCTCCTGCTCCTAGTCCAACTCCTCCTCCACCTGCTCCTGCTCCTGCTCCTGCTCCTGCTCCTGCTCCTGCTCACCTCATCCTCCACAACTGCTTCCTGCTCCTTCTCCTCCCACCCTCCGTGCTCACCACCTCCTCCTCTGATCCCTCCCTCCTATCTCGCGTCCTCCGCCTTCACATGTTCCTCCTCCTCCTCCTCCTTCCTCGCCACTCACTCCTCTTCCTCCCGCCTCCTCCTCCCTCCTCCTCCTCCTCTCCTCCTCCCACTACCTCCTCGTCCCCTCCTCCCTCCTCTCCTCCTCTCTCCTCACGAGCGCTCTCTCCTCTTCCTTCCACCTCCGCCTACTCCTCTCACCCTCTCCTCGTAACCGCCTCTTCTTCCTCCACATCTTCCTCCCCCTCATCATTATTACACCTCCTCCTCGCTCCTATCATCTCACCTACTACCTTCCCTCGAGCTCCACCTCACTCTTCCTCAATGTCCATCCTCTCCTCACTCTCCAGCTCCTCCTCCTCCCTCCTCCTACCCTCTGTCCTCCACCCTCCTCCTCCACCTCCTCCTCCTCACTCCTCTCTCATTCCTATTCCGCCCTACTTCCTCCACCTCCGCCTCCGTATCCGACTCCTTCCTCCTTCTCCCTCTTCCTCCTCCCTTACCTCATATATTTTCACACCTCTCACCTTCCTCCATTCCTCCTCCTAACTCCCTGTCTCCTTTCCTCCTCTTCTTCCTCAAGTGCCAACTCCTACTCCTCAGGGTTGACAGCTCCTCCTACCTCCTCCTCCTCTCTCCCCTCCTCCCCCTCCTTCTCCTCCCCCAGCACACACCGCACATCCCATCGACCCCCTCCTCCCCCACTTCCGCACCCCCCCTCCTCCGACTCCTTCGTCCTCCTCCGCCATCCACATCCTCCCCTCCTCCTCCTCCTCCTCCTCCACCAACTCCAGCTCCTTCTACCCTAGTCCTCCTCCTCCTCCTCCTCCTCACCTTTTAATCATATCTTCCTCCTCTCTCAACCTCCAACTCCAACTCCAACTCCTCCTCCTCCTCCTCCTCCTCCTCCTCCTCCTCCTGCTCCTCCTCTTCCAACTCCAACTCCAACTCCTCCTCCTCCTCCTCCTCCTCATCCTCCTCCCCCTCTCTTCGATAATTACATGTACCGTTAGAAGATCTTGAATACTGTGGTCAGGTCGTGCTTACTTAGAGGACTCGCAGGAGCGGTAGGATTGGATGGAGTCGGAGGACGCGCTGCATCGCCGATGCATCACCGATGCATCGGCGTGGAGAAAATCGGGCTCCACATCAATTCCACACGGTAGCGACACCTGCTCCTTGCCTGAGCCTGCTCAGGGCCGCGCCACGATCTACTCGGACCCCTTCTGGGAGACCTGGATGTGTCACCGTAGCACCACTCGGCGGCGAGCGAGGGGGGGAAGTGAGAAGGAGGAGGCCATCTCAGAAGGCGGCGGGACTACTCAGAAGCCCTCGCGCCTTCTGAGAAGTGTTCTGCGTCTTCGAGGAAAGCTTAGAAAACCTCTCTGAAGGCAGGGGGACTCCCGAGGCTTCTGACAAGGCCTTCTCCTTCTCACGTCCCCCCCCTCGCTCGCGGCCGAACCACCGAGCCCTCCTGGGGACGCCTGCGGGACACCGGCTGCACACCGCGCCCGCCACCCGCCCGTCGGGACACCGCCGGTGCGCCGGCGCGTCAGCGTCGCACACGTCGCGCCCGCCGGCGGCGGGCGGGGGGCGGGGAGACGGCGGCCTTCTGGGCAGGCAGGTTTTGGCAGCGCGTGCTGCCTCCGGAGGCCTTCCCTGGGCCCCGCGGCCGTCGGGCAACGGCTGGGGACGAAGAACGGAGGGCCCCGGGAGTGGGTCGAGGCCTCCGGAGGTCCACGTGGTGAACAAAGCATGGCGTATAGGGGGTCCGACAGAGTGGAGGACTCACGCACAACTCCGGAGGCACGGTACGCACGGCACTAGCCGCGATCTACACGGTGGGGGCGGCCTCACAGAAGCCTTCACACCCACACGCTTGGATGGAAGAGGGGGAGCCGATAACACACAGGACGAGGAGCAAATGACAATTAGAGTGAGCAACGAGAGAATAATGGATGGAGCACTGGATGGGAGGGAGAGAATCATGATGCTGAGGCTAGACATATGAGGAAGATCAACGCGTGCTGTCTTCTCGCACTCGACTGTCGTTAAGATAAATGTCTGAGGAAGATAAATGTGTTGTTCATAGTCCCCTACTCGCTCAAGGCACTTTGGCTCAAAGTACTTTTGGCCAAGTCCTTTGATCCTAGACTAGAGTGCCGTCCCCGCCCAGGGAGGGTAAATCATGTACCTCCGAGGGGCGCACGCACTAGACAGTGCAAACGCAAAATGAGGTAGGGCGCTCGGCAAAATTGTGTTATACTTGGTAGGGGCATCCCTTCTCGAGAAATGAAACCCGCCTCACGACAAGGATTCCTTGCCTCGTGCATGTGAGCTTGGAGCCCATCACTAACTTCGGGTAATCGATGCATTAGGTTGGCTGGGGGCACATTCATTCCTGAATGCATGCCTCACGCCAACGCTGGAAGATACCGCACCTGCACCAGGATGCAAGAAGGTGCCAGTGGCTATACGGCCCGATTGAGATTCAAGCATATATTTCTTGCCTCGGCATCTGGACTTGGAGCCCATCACCAATGTCGGGCAATCGATGCATTAGGTTGGCAGGCGGCGCATTCATTCCTGAATGCCTGCGTCACGCCAACGCTGGAAGAGACTGCGCCTGCACCAGGATGCAAGATTCAAGCATAACCCGGAGAAGCAATTAAGGAACCCCCCGGCGTTATCATTAGCACCGCGCCGTAATTAAATAATTATTTTGGGGGGTTTTCGCCGAGCGATATTATTAGCACCGCGCAAATGGAAGGAAAATAAATAATTCCAGCGCCCCGCCTCGGGTGGCATCCCAATTAGAATTGTAATGAGAATAAGAATACGAATACGAATAAGGAAAAGCTGAGAAAAGCTAAGGAAAAGCTTAGAAAAGCTAAGAAAAAGCTGAGAAAAGCTGAGGAAAGCTAAGGAAAGGCTAAGAATCTGGTGTACCCCCTCCTGGTGCCAGGATAACGCTTCCGGGTGCCGGGTGCGTTATCCTTTCACCGGAGAGGGGGGGGGGGGTCCTTAATCGCTTACTCGGGTTATATTTCTTGCCTCGGCATCTGGACTTGGAGCCCATAACTAATTACAGGCAATCGGTGTATTAGATTGGCAGGCGGCGCATTCATTCCTGAATGCTGGCGCCGCGCTAACGCTGGAAGAGACTGTGCCTGCACCAGGGTGCAAGAAGGCGCTGGTGGGTATACGATTGGGATTCCGGTGTCGATTGAGAAGTGCGTTGGTTCAGAAAGTGGGCTACCTGCCGTGGCCCAATCCGCGCCGAGCGTTTGCACGAGCGCGCCCGAAGCTCACTCGCGGTTGGCCCGCCGCCGCAAGCGCTCATAGTTCAGCCACAGGCCGTCCCGGTCGATGTAGCAGCCCTGAACCCAACGGTCCCCATCACTGGGGCGGATCTCACTGCGAGCATGCAACAAGCGCTGGTTGTCGAAGACGAGGCAATCCCCGGGCTCGAGCTGCATCGAGCAGATGTGCTTCTTGTCGTGCGCCAGCTGCGAGAACCGGCGCCTCGCGCGGTAGAAGGCCTCGAGGGTCTCCGGGTCCAGCGGGGGGGCGTACTGGCCGCTCTTCGCCGAGAACCGCAGCGCACGGATGGTGCACTCGGCGTGCTGGGAGACGTCGCTGCCGAGCTCGATGTGCGGGGCGGTGTGCACCAGGGCCGAGCCGTCGTCCCCACCGTTGTTCTCGAAGCGCACGGGCACCTCGGTCAGCAGGCGGAAGCTGTCCGGGCTCTCCTCCCGGAGCTTCTCTGCGACATGGAAGCCGTCGACGAGATAGTTCAGCACGGAGCAGTCCTCGCACGGGGCAGCGCTCGCGGGGCAGCTGCAGTGCTCGAGCGCGTGCAGGAGCTGGAAGTCGGGGGCCCGATCGCGGTACGGGTTGTCCGTGTGGAATCCGATCGGGCGCGGGGTGTAGGCCAGGTCAAACTTCGGCCCGCCGGCCTCTGCGCTGGTGTCTGGCACGGTGCGCACGTTAAAGAACGAGCCCCAGTTCGTGGTCCGCAGCGTGCTGAGCGTCTGCCCGAACCTGCAGACCTCCCCCTCTCGACGTGGGACCCCCTTAACAAGCGCTGCGCCAAACGTCAGAAGGTCCTTGATCAGCCGAAGCCGCTCGCCCTCGTCACCGTCCTCGCGCACTGCGTCGTGCTGGAAGACGGACAACTCGAAGGCGTCGCCGGACCAAAGCATGGGGCTCGGGCGATCGTACTCGTTGACCTGGATGGGGCTGCGGTCGAAGCTTCGCAGCTCAGACTGCACACGCGGCAAGAAGAACTGTGAATGGTGCCCGTCGCTGAAGACCACGTCGAGCTGCGAGTTGCCGTGCAGCTTTGCGTCGATCATCGATAGGCGCTCTGGCAGATCGTGGGGGTTGGCCAATGGCTGCTTCGTCTGGGCATCCACCGCGGCGCTGGACAGGCAACGTTCGCGCAGCCAGTTAGCGTTCAGTTCGGACTTGGTCCCATCCTTGGGCGGCGCGCAGTGGGGGGTAGGGGGAGGGAGGAGGGCTTCTTAGAAGGAGGCCGCTTCTTAGAAGGCGCGGGCCCTACATTTGCAGAGAAGGCCCGCGCCCTCTGAGAAGCGGCATCCCTCTGAGAAGCCTTCCCACCTCCCCCTGCCCAGAAATCGGGCGTGTCCCCCTGCAGGGGGATTTTGGACGAAACATGAAAAATACCCTAACAGTTTCCGAACACAGTGAACAAACACATTTAAAATATCGTCCCCCGACTATGTTTCAACTGTGTTTGGATTTTCCTCCTGTAGAGGGACGGGCCCGACTTAGCCCTGCCCCCCTCGGCGCGTGCCCGAATCCTGCCACTGAATGTGCAGCAGCGCCGGAAACACCTCGACGGACTCGGCGCCGGACGTCTGCTGGACGGCAGCTGCCCCACGGGCAGCTCCCGCCCCGAGCCGCGCGCGCGGGCCCTGCAGCCTCGCGGGGCGGGCGGCCGCGGCGGCACGGCGGAGCACGGGCAGCATCGCGCCGCCCGCGGGGAGCTGAGTGCAGGCTCGGGCCAGGCTGGGCAGGGATCCGCACGCAGCGGTTGGCGGCGAGCGAGGGGGGGGGGGAAATGAGGAGGAGGAGGTCTTCTCAGGGGGCGGGGGGACTTCTCAGGAGCCCTCGCGCCTTCTGAGAAGAATTCTGTGTCTTCGGGGAAGGCTCAGAAAACTTCCCAGAAGGCTGGGGGGGCTTCCGAGCCTTCTGAGAAGGCCCGCCCCTTTTCACTTCCCCCCTCGCTCGCCGCCGAAACGGGTATCAGCTGGGTTCGTGCGGTCCCTGTGCGGAGAATGTGCGGCCTGCCAACAAGCCTCGAGCCAAACGGCTTGATCCAAAGAGGCCACTTATCTTCGCTTCCGATGGGCTCTTGAGGCCTCAAGACGGCTCCACCATGGCCCAAGAGAGCTCCCAGAAAGCCCCAAGACGGCCCCAAGATTGCCCCAAGAGGCGGTGTTGACGGCCCCGACGGGGTGACCGATGTAAGCGCCGCCCTTATTTTAATCGCTGGCCTCCAAGGTGGCCCCCAAGAGGGCCCCCAAGATGGCCCCCATGATGGCCCCAAGAGAACCCCAAAAGATCCCCAAGAGGGCCCCAAGAGAGACCGAAAGACCTCCAAAATGGCCCCAAGGGGGCTCGAATACAGGGAAGTTGAAAAAACAAGGAATTCAAAAACAAGGAATTGTTAATTCTAGCTTGCCGCGTAGAGATCGAAGCCCCGAAGCGAGGCAGAGAACTAAACTAGGAATTTTAAAACAAGAAGCGGACCAGCGACGCGGCATGAAACAAAACAAGGGACGCCCTGGAACAGCAGGGAGAAAATCTGGGAGAAGATCAGTCGAAAGATCTGGGGAGTGTCCAATCGAAGATTTGGCGCGGTTACAAAGCGATAAATCTGGGGGAATATTTGGCGGAAGATCTGGGGGAGATCTGGGGAAACATCTCGGATATAATATTTGGCGGGAAGTCTGGAGAAACATCTGGAGGGACATCTGAGGGGAGATCTGGTAGAAGATCTGGGCGAACATCGGGGGAATGTGCTGAGGGAGATTTTGCGGTGTAGTGCGTCGTACATCTGCAGCAAGATGTGCGGGAAGATCTCGGGAAGATCTGGAGCAAAATCTGAGGGGGAAGATATGGGGAAACATTTGGGGAAAGATCTGGGTGAAGATCTGGAGGATGATGTGGAGGAAGATCTGGGGCAAGATCTGAATCAATACCTGGGTGAATCTATTGGAGAAACATAGAAGCAGCTCTGCGGGACATCGGGAAAGATCAGAGGAAAGATCTGGGTGACGACTTGGAGGATGATCTGGGGGAAGATCTTGGGAAACATCCGGGGAGAGATGTTGGGAAAGATCTGGGCGAAAATCTGGGGTCATATCTGGTTGGGAGAAGATCTGGGAGAACATCTAAGAGAAGATCTGGAGGAAAGATCTGGGGGAGGCTCTGGGGGAAGATCTGGAGGTATGTCAGGGTGATGATATGGGGGAAGATCTGGGGGAAGATCTTAAGGAAGATCTGGGGAAAGATCTGGGGGAAGAGATTGGGAAAGATCTGGAAGATGGTCTGGGGGAAGCTCTGGGGGAAGATCCGGGGAAAAATCTGAGGGGAAAATGATGGGTAAAAATCCGGGGGAAGATCTGGAGGAAGATCTGCCGGAAGATCTGGGGAAGATGTGGGGAAAGCTGGAGAAGGACGGGCGGGGAAAATCTGGAACAAGATCCGAAGAGCGATCTGGGGAAAGACGTGGAACAGATTTGGCGGAATATCTGAGGGATGACCTGACGGAACCACACGCCCTGATCTCGATCCCTCAGATCTTCTCCCCAAATCTGGGGGGAAGATCCGGGGGATGATCTAGGAGAAGATCTGGAGGAAAATCTGGGAAAGATCTGGGGGAAGATCTGGGGGAAGATCTGGGGGAAGATCTGGTGTGAGATCTGCGCGGCGATCTGGAAGAAGATCAGGGGGAAGATCTGGGGGGGAGATCTGGGGGAAGATCTGGGGGAAGATCTGGGCGAAGACATCTAAGCGAAGATCTGGGAGAAGATCTTGAGAAAGATCTGAAGGAAGATCTGGAGGAAAATCTTGGGGAAAGATCTGGAACAAATCTGGGGAAAGATCTGGAGGAAGAACTGGGGAACGATGTGGGAGAAGATCTGGGGGAAGATCTGGGGGGAGATCTGGGGGGAGATCTGGGCGAGGATCTGAGGGAAGATCAGGGTGAAGACCAAGGAGGAAGATCTGGGGGGAAGATCTGGGTGAAGATCCGGGGGGGAATTCTTGGGGGAAAGGATGAGAAGACCTGAATAACGATCTGGAGGAAGACCTCAAGATCTGCGTGACGATCTGGGAGGAGATCTGGGTGAAGATCTGCGGGGAGATCAAGGGAAACATCTGGGGGAGAATCTGGATGAAGATCTGGAGGACAATCCAGAGGAACATCTGGGGGAAGATAACCGTGACCATTTTTTAAACTAGGTTTTCGAGTATCACTCGCGCGATGTCGGCAGGGCATCAAACACAACAATGAATTTTAAACGTATGATTGTAGAGTAGGCCCGCGAGACTGAGCCCGGGCATGCTGTCCTAGTTGTTTTGAACTCCCTGTACGGTCCCACGATGGCCTCAAGATGCGTCCAAGAGGCTCTCAGAGAGTGACTTTATGTTGCTGCGAATCCCTGAACAGAGCAATTCACATGGCGATTGGTTTTGGATGAGCTGGTGGGGTCGTCGTCGTCGTCGTCGTCGTCGTCGTCGTCGTCGTCGTCATCGTCGTCGTCGTCGTCGTCGTCGTCGTCGTCGTCGTCGTCGTCGTCGTCCCCCCATACCATCTTGGGGGGTGCCTGCGGAACCCTGGGACCCATCCCATCTGGGGGGACGGGGGCTGTGAATCCTCGACCTGGGATGATACATTTCCACTGCCTAGGAGCGGTGCATTCGCCATCCTGGCTTGGTCGGGGAAGCATAGACACCGCTCCGGGACGATCCAGGATGGGCCTGGCCAGAGGCAGCGGATATGTATAGATATGAGTGAACCATCAGGAATTGACACCGATTTTCCCCGAACCTCTCCTGGGGTACGTTCTGACCAAGACTTTGAGGCGAATCCAGACGTGGCGACGGGGGCATCCCAGGAAGCCATGAAAGGCGAAAGCGAGTGATGGGTAGCATTACGGGAACCAATTCCTCCTCTGAAGATCTCGTCACGCGGTGGCGGGTCACTGGCCTCGTCCTCGTCGGTGAGCGAGAAACCTTGCGCGGAGAGGAACGG